AAGTGGCGGCACCAGTTTGAGAAACACTGCTCTAGACTGCTTCCATCTGAAGACCGCTTAGACTTCATAGCTGATGCAGATCGTGGCTGGCTTGAAGCCTCAGAGGCAGGTAGCGGACTGCACTGGTTACTCAGGAGATGAACTTAGCTTACCATTTGTTTCTGGGTCCACTTCCAGATATTTGATCTGTGAAGCTCTGTGTAAGTTCTGGCTATCTGATCAGCTGAGGCATTCAAGATAACTGGTTAATAGGTTCTAGATTTAAGCATCTGTGGCAAGCTGTTCTGTGTGTAGGGCTCTCAGTTGTGGAAAGTCTTTCATTTACTTCTGTTTTGAGAGAGCCAGAGCTTCTTGACAATTAGGCCCATCTCATCTCTTAGGTCAGTGTTTCCCAAACTAGGGCTGCCGCTTGTTCAGGGAAAGCCGCTGGCAGGCTGGGCCGGTTTGTTTACCTGCCGTGTCCCTCGGCTCGCGCCACTTCCAGCAACTCCCATTGGCCTGGAGCAGTGAACCGCGGCCAGTGGGAGCCACGATGGGCCGGACCTGCGGACGTGGCAGGTAAACTGGCCCGGCCCGCCAAGGGCTTTCCCTACACAAGCGGCGTCCCAAGTTTGGGAAACACTGTCCTAGGTTTTGCATAAGGAGGGGTTGGGTGGGTTGGTATTTAGGATATTGGGTTTTTTGGTGAGTTGAGAGGAAAAAGTTAAGGTTTTAATTTTTATTAAAACTCACAAAAGGTTATTTTTCAAATGTTGTACATGAAGCTTGAGTTTTGATAAATACATTTATGCATCTAAATAAACAAGAAGTAATACAAAGTAAAGCAAAAATGGTCACGTTTTAGATCTGCCAACCTGGCCACAAGGTCCCTTCTTCATGCTCTGCCATTTCCACTGCTCTTGGATGGTTTCTATGGCAGCTGTAGCAGGGTTCTATATTTAGTGAAAATTCTGTTCTTTCCTCTGCACTTGAGTCTAACCTTTCCTTTGTTTGTTTGATTATGCAGTGAGGCCTAAAATTATGATACAGTTGAATATCTACATCTGGTTTCTTTTCTCCCCTCCCCCCCACTTCTTGGGATTTGCGCTTTACATTGGCAGTGATATAGACTAGATGATTTAGTAGGTTTTTTCCATTTCAATTGTCTGATTAACACAAGCACAAGTAGTGGGATCCTGTATGGAAGATGAATTCTCAGTTATTCAGATGGATCTAGACATGACGCGTTCTATGGAAATACTGTGTTTTTCTAAATAGCTATGTGGTTACCTAACTTACGCCAAGTGTATAGCATAATGTCCCACCCAGGAACTACAAGTGGCTTTAAAATATTATTTGAGAAACGTTTCTCTGGTTTAGCACATTTCATAGACCCATAATTGCAGTAAATACAGAGATTCCCATAAAAGAAATACACCTCTACCCCGATATAACACGAATTCGGATATAACGCGGTGAAGAAGCGCTCCGGGGGGGGCGGGGCTGCGCGCTCCGGTGGATCAAAGCAAGTTGGATATAATGCAGTTTCACCTATAATGCGGTAAGATTTTTTTGGCTCCCGAGGATAGTGTTATATCGGGGTAGAGGTGTATCGCACAATTGTAATTTTGCAGGGTGGATTTGATTTAAATCAAATTGATTTAAATCACTAGTCAGGAAGACTCGATTTAATCATGGATTTCTACATAAAAGTGCATTCTTGTTGGTTGTTATAACCTTAATACATATTCTTCACAACTCAGATAGATGTAGGTTTCATTTTTAGAAGGTACACACTATACATTTTTAAAGTGATTTATTTTGAAAACTTTTCAGATTAGTTTTACAGCTATATTAGAAAATGAATGATTGTTTGGTTATTTCATTTACCAAAGGTAATTGAAGCAGATATTTATGAAGTCATTGGGAGGTGAACTATCTCCAATTCAACAGGTTAATCATTAATATTTGGAGGATTTTCTTGCCATGCTGTATTAGGAGGAGCACATCACCAGACAGACATTTAAATTATTTTATGTAACTAAAACAACGTTATGTATGCTGGATTTTTTTCTTCAACAGCAAACATATAGTATTTTAATAAAACAAGCGTGAATTTTTGAATTTAGTTAAACATTCACGTTTTTTAAAATCAGGTTTGTTTTTTGTTAAAATTGTTTTTAACTTAAATAGTTAAATGAAATATTTAAAAAAAATTAATCGACTGTGTCAGCCAGGTCAACATGAGAACCTTAAAATATTGGCTTCTGCAGCTAACTCAGTCGTCTTCATCTTCATTTTCCTATTTGTTCATAATCTGGAAAAGAAAAACAAGCTTTCCTGCTTTTTCAGATCCCAAATGATTTCTCAGTTTGGAATGAATTAGTCCAAAGGAAGAAATATTCTTTCTACGCCGGCAGAAGAAGCTACTGCTTTTAAAAGTGAGATGATCACTTCAACAGTCTCTGAATCCAAGTGCTTAAGTGACTTCCACCAGTTCACTGGTGTGACTTTCTTTAAAACATCATCAGCAAACATATATTGCTTGAAAGGTTCTTATTCCCAAACTGGGTCTCTTTTACGGCCTGCTGCCATTATAGGTTTTCCCTTCTAGTGAGAGAATGGTGTGGTAGATCTCAAATCAATCAAGGCTACACTCAGAAAGATCTCAAGACTTCTGGAATATGCTGCTCAACCAGTTTCACTTTTGTTTCTACTGCTTGTCCCTCCCTTCTCACATTTATCTCCAGACGACTTCTTGTCCAGATCTATTCCGCTCCCAACAATCTTCTATTCGTTGAACTTTTTGAAACTTTGTACTTTTAGAGAGAGGTAAGGAAGTGACTCTGTACACAAATTCACAGAGGGACAATAGGGTTGAGGTCTGTTATTTCTCACCTCTATATATTATGTATTTTAAAACATTTTTGCTGTTAACAAGCATATTATCGCTGGAGATACAAATCCACAGTTTGAGAACTGCAAAACTAAGCATCTCTGATGGTATCTTCTAGACTGAGCGCCATTGGATAGATAGAAAGATTAACCTAAATAATCTATACAGAAGCCCCTGGAATCCCATAAAATTGGTTCCCTAATCCATGAACTATTGGAACTCATTTACAAAACTTTTCTTAAACATTACATTAATATATCGTCTCATACTATAGAATTAGAATTTGTAATCCCTATTCCATGAAGAGAGATCTTTGAGCTATAATGTATCTTAATTAAAACTATCTTTAGATGGGCTTTTTCCTCAAAAAGCATTTTATCAAAAAAATGCGATTTTTTTTTTAAATCATTGATTTTTATCCACCCTGTAATTTTGCAATCTTTAAAGTGGTAAATATGTGTACAGGAATGAGTCAAGGGTAGTCAAGCCCTTCTTCTTCTCCTTCCCTCTGCACTTCAATCCTACAGCCCAGAAGGACTTTTTTTTTTTCCCCAGGAGGTGGTGATTTAGTTAATAGCTCAGGTGATTGGGAGTAATATGGGGATATTTGGCAACTATCCGTTTCCCCCATTTTTTGAATAGTCTAAGTACAATGTGTCAGTAACAGCTCCCTTGAGAGCGAAAACTGGATAGCGCGCACCAACTTCTCCCAAACCAACACAACTCTGTAACAAGCCATGGGCTCGATATAGTGATAATCCAAACTCCGCCCCATTTTGAGAGACCCGTCTGAGTTCTTCACTCCTTCTTCTTCTCCCCAGCCCACAAATTATCCTATAGGGTGAAGTCTTGAGGTGCGTCTGCAGCTGGGTTTCTTTTTGTAAAACGAGGCCAGTCTTGCTTTGTGAGTATATCAAGGTGGAGTCTACAGTCTGTAAGCATCTAATATAAATGGAAATCCTAAGGTCTGAGTTCATCAGGATTTACAAAGGTGCTACTCTGTTGCTATATGTTGTTAGAGGTCGTATCTGGGTTTGGGCCAGGGGTGGCCAAACTGTGGCTCGTGAGCTACATGCAGCTCTTTTACCATTAAAGTGCAGCTTGCAGAGCCCACTATGCCTCCCCATTCTTCTTCTACCAGACAGGGGGAGGAGAGGAAGCTCAGGACCTCTGCCTTGCAGTGGGATGGTGCGGGAGGGGCTTCTGTCCAGTAGAGTGTGGGTCTTGGGGCTTCAGCCCTCCAGGGTACAGCTGCCAGGGCTCGGGCCTTCTTCAGGAGCAGGGCTGAAGCCCCAACCCCTGGCTCCCAGCAGGTGTGCCCTGGCTCTTGAACTTCTGAAGATTGAAGATTGTTGTATGTGGCTCGGCAGGCCAGTAAGTTTGAACACCCCTGGTTTGGGAGTTAGTGTCTGTAGTGATTGAGTAACCTTATCGAGGGAAAAAATTACTGCAGAAGTACCTGAGTCATGTTTTGGATTTACAATTGCAATGGCACCTGGAAATTCTTGGATAAGAGTGTCAGTATTAAAAAGAAATAGTTATTGTCTTTCAGGCTTTCATTTCTACACCAGCATGGTACCTGGAGGGCAAAACTTTTGCAGGCAATGTTGGAACACAATGCACTAAAAATATCTCATCTCTGCATGCTGGAAATATTAAGAGTGGGGGAAAACAATAAATGCCAAAAAAAACTACTCAGCTCTTCACATACAGGAAAAATAATTTGTTGCCAGCCAGCACCTGGTTTAAAATCACTTCCCCAGCAGGAAAGAAAATTAAATCTGCCACTTTAAAAAACATTTTATATTTGGTGGGGAGTGAGGAAGAGAAAACAGAAATATTGACGTCCAGTTTGAAATGAAAAATTGAAAGCGTGTTTAGTTCCCTTCATAAATAATTACACTGTAGTGAATAGGCTGGATAATCTGGTACCCTCTGAGGTATTTGAATAGCATAATGAATTTGTATAGTGAATGTGAGATTCTCCTACATTGCAGAGCAATCATGGGTAGTCTTTTGTGTGTGTGTTGTGTGTATCGGGGGGGAGGGATTCCCAACTAATATAGACCCTGTATTGTCTGTCTGCACTCTGTTGGAAAACCACTAACTCTGCTCCTCTCTGCAGCCTTCATTCTTTGTTGTGTACAACATGGTGACCACAGAGGTTATTGCTGTGTTCGAGAACACTTCGGATGAGCTACTGGAGCTCTTTGAGAACTTCTGTGACCTCTTCAGGAATGCCACCCTGCACAGCGAGGCTGTCCAATTTCCCTGCTCAGCTTCCAGTAACAACTTTGCCAGACAGATCCAGCGCCGGTGAGCCATTCGGAGCATGCATTATACCATATAGGTACATGCTCAACACTGCCAGCCAAAGGCCAGTATCAAATAGCTGTGACAACCTTGAGAAACATAGCTCTTTAGTGACTGACTGGTGTATGAGTCCATTCTGAACATGGCACATCTCACCACAGCCTTATGGTTCTGAAATCTGCTGAACACTCAAGGCTGAGGCAGGGAACACCTGGTTCTGTATTCCACATTCACTGTCTTGTTTGGTCTTCCATGCAAATGGTAGACCAAGGCTAGAAAGTATACAGTGACAATCTAAGAATCCAACCCTAGGGGGAGAGATTTCTGAGGGAAGAATGCTGCCAGCACACCTTGTGCTGTGACTTCCTCTGGGGCTGTTTAAGTGATGCTCTCTGAGTATTAGGACACAAAGCTAGGATTTGTTAAACCAAAAATGTCACCAAATTTGGGATTTATTTTGCCAGACAGGTTTCCCCAAATGTAATATGAATAAAACTCTGTGTTTGTGGCATTTTCTACAATTTCAGCAAAAAGTATGCTGTTCCTTTTTTCAGTTGGACCTTCCTTTCCTGTGTGAAAGTAAAACTGACCAATCTAATGTCACAGTGAAAGTGGAGTGAGATATAAAAGTAAACAAGGCTTCTAAAATTCTTTTACACAGACTAAAGTCATGTTAGTAATGCAGGTGGTGATGTTTCTAAAATGTGGTCCTAGGAATCTGTGGTGACATACCCAAGTGTGCCAGAGCCTCTTGTACTTCCCACAACTAATTTAACTTCAGCATAACTATGTAGTGACCATTTCTGTCATTGCTTATAGGGGAGACTTCTGTTGATTCAAGCTGTTGAATCCATGCAAGCGAAGGAGACTTGGTCGTCCTGTATATTTCCATAACTCCCACTGGGGATTCCCTACTGTGTGTGAGGGACAGAACTTAATGCAAACATCTGAAGTGCTGCTCTTGTTTTGTAGCTGAAACCAGAGGCAAGAACCTCTTCAGCCTTCTGGTTGGTGGTGGAGCCTATAATGGGGCTGGTGATGGGGTGGTAGGGTGCTTGTTAGATAAGTAAACACAATAGACCCTTGCCCTGAGAGTTTACAGTCCAATATAAACTGTTCCTGATAAGTGTCTCTTATACCGCTGGTCTCATAAAAGTTGGATCTCGCCAACAGAAAGCTCAGATTCTGCTTACTAACTTGTAAAGAAGAAAAACTCCAATGCAGATAAATCTCTTCACAGGAAAGAACGTTTCAGACTGTGCTGAGCTAAACAGCTGCAGGCTTCTCTTCGAGGTTGTTCTTCTTCTACAGTTTCTTCCCTTTGTGCCAGGGGTCGGCAACGTTTGGCACGCGGCTCGCCAGGGTGCTTACCCTGGCGAGCCGCTTGCCAAACGTTGCCGACCCCTGCTTTATGCAATCAAAACGTAATGGTTGGGGAGAGATGGATTCCCAAGTCCTCCTTCAACCTCAGGAATTCAGCTGTTAATAGCACAACCTTCAGGTTTCACTGACAATGTTTACAATCTTTGCAGTAAAACCTGGATTGATTGATTAAGCTGCTACTCCATCTCTCCCCATTTCTGATCCTGTACATTTCCAGTACTGCAGGGCAGCTGTAGCCAGATCTTGTGGAATGACAAGTTCCTATCCACTTGTCAGTCCATAGTTCCAAAACAGAATAGGAATACTGATTGATTGTGGCGCAGGTAAAAGGTCACCAGAATTGAGACTGATGGTGTATTAGATGAATTATAACTTCTGAACTTAATAGTACACCTCTACCCCGATATAACGCTGTTCTCGGGAGCCAAAAAATCTTACCGCGTTATAGGTGAAACCGCGTTATATTGAACTTTCTTTGATCCGTCAGAGCACGTAGCCCCGCCCCTCCGGATCGCTGCTTTACCGTGTTATAGCCGAATTCGTGTTATATCGGGTCGCGTTATATCGGGGTAGAGGTGTACTAGTTTTTTAAACTGCTGCTGTTTTGATTTGTTATCTCTATCCTTTTTGAACACTAATATATCTACATTGTGCCATTTCCCTGTGCGCTTTGCAAATAAAATCTGTCCCTTTGTGTGTTCCAGGTTTAAGGACACTATTGTGAATGCAAAGTATGGAGGGCACACAGAGGCTGTGCGGAGGCTGCTGGGTCAGCTCCCAATCAGCGCTCAGTCTTACAGCGGCAGTCCTTACCTTGACCTCTCCCTCTTCAGTTATGATGACAAGTGGGTGTCAGTCATGGAACGGCCAAAGACGTGTGGAGATCACCCCATCAGGTATGAAGAAGAGTCAGAAAATTGCACATGGCTAGGACTGAATGCGTGTTTCTCAGAAACGTACATGTGTCTCGACTGTGTCTCAGACTGAAGTGTACATATATGGATGTTTCCCTTTTCTCCTCCTCTGTCCCATTCCAGCAGAGTCCTTGTTTAGATTATTCCGAAGAGACCAGTAAATTAGGAAACTCTGTCTTTCCTCTCCTATGGACTGTGCCTATTTTACATACGCACATTTACATTTGGCTCTTTCAAAAGTGGAGTTGAAGCGCATTGGTCATGTTGAGAGGCAGAAACGGGTAGTGAAACTTTAACATCCTTTTATATGAACATTAAATTCCCCCTCTTCTCAGACTCCAGCCTTTTGCTATATGACAGCCAGCATGCTATGGTTGCAATGTATGAGTCTGCTTTGCCACGGCAAGAAAATGCTCGTTTTGGGAGGTGGGGCTGGCCAGCACTTATACAAGTCTGATTTGTTTAAATGTCTTTAAATGTTATATGTTACCCATAACATTCACAGCGCTGGTTTGACTGTCTTCATACTCCGTTGTCTGTAACGCACACTGAGAAACTTAGAAACCAAAGTCATCTTTCACTATGAACTTTATTCCTCTTCATTTAACAAACACTGGAGTCTGTGGTCCCCTTTTCCCTATAGTCTCTTGTGTTTCTCATGATTTGGAAACCTATAATGCATAAGAAACTTGCTTGCACAGCAGAACCTTTGGTCAGACCTAAAGGCCATTCTGCTTATTTCTGTCTGTGCCCTATTAACAGGAATATGCCTAACCTTGAAAGTAGGGAGGTTTGCAATGCTCCTTGCAGACTAAAGGGGAGCTTGCACATTTCTATCTTGGGCGTGCACAAATTGTTTCTGTTTATTGGCCACAGCAATGGATTTCAAGAATAGCTGTTTGGATTCTGGCACTGGATTTCCCCCACCAGATTCAAAACGTTTTAAGGAAGATCATACTTTGGGCCTAAATGTGCTGAGTGTCCCAAGGCAGAAAACTGCACAGCTCTTAGTGCCAGAAGAGCGAAATAAATCCTACATTTTGTGAACAGAGAGAGAGAGATCAAAGAGTTAATACTGCGCTCGGTGACTGCCCTGATGTCAGTGTTTTGATCTGCCCAGAGAGATGGGGAAACTGGTCGCAACCACCAACTTTATTGCTGTCCACGGTATTCCCTCCTGCACCATGCACACTATAGCTGCCTAAGATTTGGGAACTTCTGACCATTTCATACACACACAATCCCCAAATCATAGCTATTTAATTGATTTCCCGTGTACGGTTTGGTTTGAACTCACTCTGTACAGTCTGCAGAAAAATATCTGCTGCTTTTCCTGTCGCTGTAGTTGATGTTCAGACATCTCACTGGGTGGTGTTTGTCTGCATCTGCCAACCTTTGTGCAGCTGCTACAGACAAAAGGGAGTAGGACTGCAGACATTTGCTGTGGTCACGTCTTCTGTAGTAAACAAAGCAAACTACCACCTTCCCTCTCTCCCCTGAGTAGACGTGTAGCTTTGCGCTTTAGAAGCTCAGGTTATAAAATGCCAGAGTCAATCAGGACTTGAATAGGGGTTTGGAGCTGTAGGGGGCTCCTGTTTCCTAGCTGCCTGCTTATAGTATGCAGGGCAATTCAACCGCAGAAGTAACCCTTAACCCTTCAACAGCTGGAAAAGTGCTGCCCTGTTTCTCTCACACAAGACCATGATTAATAAGATACAACAGTGGCCCATCATGCAGAAAACGGTTTTGAAATAAAGATGCATTAGCTTTATTTTCTCATTACTGGTAATGTAGGATTTATAGTGACAATTCCATGCACCTGGCATTGGCACAGAGCCCATCAGCAGCCCAAGGTACACTCAATCTATATTTTATTTTATTTTTGAGGTCCGGTAGTTGTGTCCTGCACCATCTCGGCACCCACTCATGCTGCCTTTAGCTTAACTCCTCCCCACTCTTAGTTTTATGGTCTCTCTTCCCCTGGAAGGCTGCAGCAGTCCTCTCTCTCAGCTGCTGGAGTGGTTAACATCCTGCTTCCTGGCCTCTTTGCTGATGGAATGGCTTCAGGCCCTTTTCCCCAATATCTATTTACAAGAGGCTTGGCAGCAAACTCACAGCAGGGAACTACAAAGCTTGTGAGGGAGATGCATGGGCTGCCAAATCCTTAATGCAGCAACTCCTGTGTTAGGGGTTAAAGCTTTTAAATCTAAAGGGTTAATAAGGAGCCTACTTAAAGAAGTGGTCTGCAGATAAATTTACCATTTCTGTACAATTTGAAAAGGCTGGTCTTGTTGTTTTTATTGACACAAGGTCTTCTATTTCAGTGCCTAGTTTATCCACAGAGTGAGAGTCCATGGAAATGGCCTCTGATTGCAGAGCACTTTTTAAAAATACCAACCCGAGCACATCTTTGAGATTACCTGAGATTACAGGGAGCTCATCTTGAGTGTGTTTAAATTACATTGAATTGTGGAGAGAGTAGCAGCCCACAGGCCATGTGGGGGGTTGGTTTCTAACTAAAACATGCCTAGTTCTGTGTAGGAGGGAGCTTTTTGGAAAGCCAACTACTAAGATTGTGGCTCTTTTGCTTCATTCTTATGTGTAATTGGCAGGCCAGTTGGTTGGCACTCTTATTCGGGTGAGGAGTGAGATTGGAGAGGAGAATGGCATGCTAGAAAAATGCAAGGAATTTAGCAAGCTGCATTATCAAAACCTGGAGGGTGTCTGATATTGAAAGAATCTGTCTGGAGCCGTTGCTGCCGGCCTAAGAGCTGTGAGTGTATCAGGCTAGCAGGTGGTGTTGGGAAGAATGTGCTCTGATACAAAAGTAATTTTGAGCTGAAACCAGAGGCAAATGCAAACAACCAAAAGCTCCAAGGCAGGAAGGAAATGGAGACGGATAGGAACAGAATGACCATCACAAGTCTGTGCTCGGAAAAAGGTCCTTATCGTGGAACCAACTTCGGGGCCAGTGCTGATGGATTTGTGTAATAACAGGAGGCCGTTTGGTTTTCAAATTATCTGAAGAACCCACCGAAGTATTGGGTGGAAGGTGAAGTTGCAGAGATCCTTGTGTTCTCCTAGAGATGTAAGGGGCGCAGCTTGAAACAGCATAACTCTTGGACATGGAGAGGAGTTCCTTCAGAACACAGGAAAGATCAAACAACCAAAGGAGTGCTAGGCAGAACTCCCTTTAGAGGCAGCAAACACTGCTCTGCTTATGGGCCAGAAAGTCAGTGAAGAGCAATGTCCACTTCTTACCTGAGCCACATTGCAGAGCACTCCAGGTTTGGGGAGCAAGGGTCCAATCTGAATCTCAGAGGTGGATCTCTGCATCGTAGTACATTGGGTGATTTCTTTCCCTTTCCCTTTCCAGATCATCCAGATTTGCTGTGATCACTGCATTTGGCCATTAAGCGACTTTCTCCTAGACTCTTGCATTGACAGAATTCACTGGAAATCAGCAAGTGACTGTGAAGTCTGGCTGTAAAGTAGTGTAAGGCACCCTAGAGCAAAGTCAAGTCCGGTAGCTCTCTTACATCTTCTGAATGGGGACACAGCGAGGGGACATGATGTGCGAGTAACCAAGTCACATAGCAGCAGTGTGGTGTTGTGAAGTCTTTTTGGTAGAACGGGAGACACACAACGCATTCTCACAGTTAGAGAGTGAAGGCTGTTATTTAAAAGTTACTAAAAGGAATGGGTCTGTATTCTCATTTGCAACTCCCATTATGACTATGGGATATGTTTGCATCAGTGGGATGGTAGGGAGCCAGTCTGTATTTTATTAGAGATAAAGGCTTTTACTTCTAACTGTGGATCCAGAAATCAGAGCCCGCAAGAATGAAATACAGTCCTTTGCAAGAGGCTTCTCTCATTTACGGCACTAAAATGAGTTAAAATGTTAAAGATTAAAAACTTCTACCCAGGAAGGGACTTTCCCTATGTGACCTTCCATCATTTGTATTGTTTAGTCAATGCTACGTATTGGCCAGCGCAGGCTGAGGCTGTCGCACCATCTTGCCAGCATTCTTTTGGGTAAATTCCAGGGATGGAATAAGGAGCAGTCATCAGTGGCACCAGTCCCTTTTCATGCAGAGTTCAAGATGGCAAAACCAGTGAGCAGGAATAGACCTAATCAGCATTCTCTGTTTCTCTTCCTTACAGATTTTATGCCCGGGATTCTGGCCTTCTGAAGTTTGAAATCCAAGCAGGACTCTTGGGCCGACCCATCAATCACACAGTACGCCGCCTGGTTGCATTCACCTTTCACCCCTTTGAGCCCTTTGCCATCTCGGTGCAGCGGACTAATGCAGAATATGTTGTTAATTTCCACATGAGGCACAGCTGCACATAGTACAATCCTGGGCTGGGGCAGCTGTTGCCATCATGGACACACCAAAGCCGGACACTCATGCCTTCTAGGAAACCAAACCATTGCTCACCTACGGAACCTGACCTGGAAGCCCTAACCAACCAGCATTGTTCCCCAGCGTCTGCAGCTGGCACTCGCAAGCCATTGAAAGAGAATCCCGTTGTGCTTCTAAAGAAGCCATCTTGATTGGAGATTAGTCTTATGATTTCTTTCTATAGATATCCAGTTCATATTGCCAAAGCCCCTTGTTGCATTATACCCTGTCTTTTCCCACACCTATTGGTGAACAAAATGTAGCTGAGAAACCTTGCCTGTTTCTCCAAGGAGTGTTGTCTTTTCTCTCGCTTTGTCTGTTTTGTGATAGGAAAGGCAGAGTTCTCAAACACTCCTTCTATACCGGTGCCCTTCTACTTAGTCAAGACGAGTAGCCCATCTTACAGAGTAGGACTAGAAGCTATGGTGGTGGGGTTTTTTTTATTTGTACCTTTACTGTTATGAGGAAACGAAACTAGTTCTTGTGACTCACACAGTGCACTCAAGCCACATCAATATGCAAGGCATTAGGGGAGAAAGGTCTCTGTTAGTGGGGTGGTCTAGTAGTTAGAGCAGGTCACTGGAATCAGAGGAGATGATTTCTGTTCCTGACTCTTATGCAAGTCACTTAATCTTTGTGCCTTAGTTTCCAACCGGCAAATGAGGATGTGACTGAGCCACTTTCTGTAAGCACTTTGAGCCCCTCAGATGAAAGGTGGCAGGTACCAAGGAAGGGAAACCAGAACAGCTGACTGCATGCCTAACGAGTGAGCTAGGCTGTAGGGTGGGAAGATGGGTAGCTAGCAGCAGGAATGCATGAGAGAGGCTTGGAACTTGAGAGCAGTTTGCTCTTTGGTCCCTCAGTTAGGGAAAAGAGCTGCATGGACCGGGAATGTGTCCACAGGGGTAGGTGTCGTCCTCTTCCCTCATCCTGCTTCTGCTGACAGGGTGGGAAAGAGCCAGCCCTAGTCTCTGGTGCATGCCAGGTACGTGAATGTGCAGAATGTCTGACTTGTGGCATCCTTGTCTTTCCCATGGCTACTATGTGATTCCTCAGACTGTAAGATTATAGTCACCAGGGGATAACAGGGTTAGACCTGAGAGAGCTGATTCCAGAATGTCTGCATCTGTTTGGCACTGGAATGTCGCGGTGCTTGCCTTTCCCCTGATGTTAGAGGACAGCTAGGCTGGATTTTGCACTGGGAGAAGGGGAGACTTGGATTCATGTGTATTGCTAGGAGCTTGTAGCTGAAGGTCTGACTTTGCTGACTTACTGCTGCCTGTCCTCTCCTGCTTCACACCCTGTGAGAACTGGGGGCGAGGTGGCAAGGGGTGCCAATGGGTGACTGCCTGGGATTGAAGCACAGCTTGCTGGTCTATCGCTGTACGCGTGAAGCAAGATTGACTTCTACGTTGTCTGAGATGTCTGCAAAATGAGCTGCTAGACTTGAATCCAGAAGATGTGCACCTTAATGCCTCTGGGTCTGAGCTTGTGCAGGTTTATATAAATGCTGGCCCTGCTTTGATCTGAAGATCACTTCATTGTTGGCTGCATTTGTACTACAAGGTAGCACATGGGCTTTCTAGAAACTTGTGCATACCAAAAATGTGCATGTTGCGAGGGAATGTTGTCATCTTAGGCAAACACAAGGCTGGTGAAAGGTGCTGGATTGACACTGGAAACAGCTGTTCTCTGATGCACATGATGGGCCATGACAGGGCACTGTCCTTGAGGGCGCCCCCCTCGAAGGAAAGCCCTTCAGACTAAAAGCCCATTCATATCTGCTGAAGGTACTAAAAAGGGGGCCAGTTGTGAGTAATATGTTGTGGCCACTTGTCTGCTCAGAAAGTCCTGAGGTCACAAGCTCATCTCAGACATCACTGAATAGCCATCAGATAATCTTATTTTTGTCACTATTGACCTGGGCACGGTTTGGATACCTCACCTAGATGTGACAGGCTCCACATCCCACCCTAGATTCCTTGAACCATCCTGTCCTTTGGATGTTTACAGCCCTCAGTGTAGTTCTTTTGCTCTATCTTCCTTTCTTCTGTCCTCCCAAACATAGCCCCATCTCAACACTATAAAGCAGTTTTTGTATAAGGATCTCAAAGCACTCTTACAAAGGTATTGCTGCCATTTTGCAGATGGTGAAATTGAGACTCAGATGAAATAATTCATATGACCTTGTGTAAACTGAGTATAGACTTGACTTCCAGTTCTAACCAGTAGCCCATCTGCATCTATGCAGGATTGCTAAGGGCTTTCAAAGCCTGGCTATGGAAAATGTAGTCCTAGGGCAAGAATATATATTTCTTTGTCTTCTTTCCCAGGGTATTTGTGCTGATGGGAAGTTTCTCGGGGCTGTAACAAATGACTTCAGGTTGGGAGGCCACTTGCTGGGGGAGGTGTCAGGACATGCATGCAGTAGTGCCTCATTCCTCTCCAGCCCAGAACACTATTTTATGGTTTTAGACTCTTTCACCTACAATCTGATTCTCAAGCTCTTTCTATTAAAGCTCCGAGCAGGGAGTCTTCGCACATTGTCTTCTCGATAAAATGCACTGTAGCTGATAGATAACTGAGTTATCTGCTTTCTCGCACCAAAAGTTCACTCTTCATTACCCTTTTCCATTGTTAATGTATCTTTCTGTCTTTCCCAGAAGTTCTCAGCAGTTCCCATTAACTCCTTGATGCCACAAGCTAGCGGTCCCTCTCCCTGGAGCTCTAGATGGGGTGGAGCAGTGCTTCAGAATATCTCAGCTTTCTGTTGATACCGTTTCCTTTAAGTGGTATAAGTCAGTAGTTCTCAAACTAAGGCCACCGTTTGTTCAAGGAAAGCCCCTGGCAGGCCGGGCCGGTTTGTTTACCTGCCGTGTCCCTCGGCCCGCGCTGTTTCCTGCAGCCCCCATTGGCCTGGAGTGGCGAACCGTGGCCAGTGGGAGCCATGATCGGCCGAACCTGTGGAGGTGGCAGGTAAACAAACTGGCCCAGCCCGCCAGGGTCTCTCCCTGAACAAGTGGCAGCCCTAATTTGAGAACCACTGGTATAAGTAACAACCATCTTCACAACTCTGCCACTAAGATGTGTAATCTCAGGCAAGTCACTTCCCTTCCCTCTGTTTCCTTATCTGTAAAAGGAGGTGATGTGGCCTCACTTTTGTAAAGCACTTTCAGTTCTGTGGATGAAAAGTACCAGATAAGTGCTAAATATTGTTTTAATGTGTTTCTGGAGGCACAGATTGATGGTTGTGAGGGGTGTGAACTGCACTGGTGCAGCACTGTAGATTCTGTGGCTGCTACATTTTGTAGCTACAGTGAAGGATTAATGTTACCACAGGAGTGTGTTGAAAGAAAAGCCTGTCTCATTCTCATGCTTGAAATTTTGATTCTTTTATTTAAGAAACAAGAAGTAAGGGAGTAGGGGTGGGACATATATTTTCTACCTAATATTTTTACTAGGTTAGGATGAGAACTTGTTAGCAACACAAGATAAATACCAGAATAAACAAGAACTTGTTTCATGAGTCTGACTTGTATCCTCTTTCCAAGATCTCCTATCAGATATCAGTGGTAACTTAAATCCTTTCATTAAGAAAAAACAGGGTGCATTTGTCTTGAGGAGTCATGACCTATATGTGTAGGAGGGTCTGCATAAAGTCTAGGTTATTAATTCATTGTGCTGAAGTTTCACCTTAGAGCTGTTAAGATGCTCCTATGGACTCATTTGTATGGATAATGGTGTGAGCTAATGGCAAAGGTGGGACGCACTCCTCTCTCCCACTTTGGTGTTCAAGTTGCCAGCCCCACTTGTGAACATAGACTTTTTCCTTCTGCCTGTCCCTAGGGCCTCATCCTATGGCTATTTTATCTCCTCTCCCTGAGACATTAACATGAAAGTTAAGCCAATGTGGGTGGCTTTGCAGGGCTCAAAAATACTGGTGGGTTTTGTTTTGATTTATGCATTATATATATATAAATTTTTTTTACTGCATGGTCCTCCCAGGTGGAATGTGCCTCTGCTAGCTTGAACAGTGGCTGCCAATGCACATATGGGTCTGATCTGAGGCTCCTCACCTTTGGATTTCTCGCTGCTCTGCTGCACTGGGTACTCAATAGCAACACTGTGTGTGTGCACCTCCATACTTGGTCTCAAGCAGAGCACCGGAGAGGCTGATATCTTCACTTCCTGAGCCCTTTCCCTCTATTGTGTGTCGGGTTCTTTATTCTACAGCTTCTCTGGAGCTTTGTGTCAGAATGACCCCACAGAAGCCCTTTGGCACTGAGCACTCCTCAATTCAGTTCAGTTCTGAACTAACTGGCAGGGAAACTCGTGCCTTGAAAAGACTGTGTGTTGGTTAACAATGGATCGACTTTATGCTTTCTGTGACTTTAGCCATCTTTGATCTGGCAGTCAATCAAAATAAGATTGGGTCAGTTGTGTGAGGATTATATATAGCTGTACTAAGTGACCAGCTACAGAAGTCATTGTGGGCTCAAAAATGCAACCTTCTGTACATCTGTGTATTCATCTAAAGGTAGATCCCTTCTCAAGCCTCCTTTCAGTTAACCTTGAAGCAGTGACTTCCTCTCCACCATTTCTGCCCTCTTCCTTGGCTTTGTTCCCTTGCAGTTCAAGTGTAATTATGGGATATCTGGTAGGCTTGTTTAGGACTTTTCTGACACGGGGGAAAAAACAGGTTTGTGACTTTCTGCAACTTTTTTTCGGGTCTTTCCTGTCTCTTCTCTTCCACCACCCCCTTTTATGGGAACCATTTCAACCCTGGGGGAAAGGGGATGAAGTCACTGAGGTCTAGTAAAACCGGGATTGCTTCTGTTATGTTTTTTCTAATTTAGAAGAGTGAACGTAGAAGATGTTTTGTAATCAATAAATCATGTGCCAAGTGTGATGGTCATGTGTTCATGTTACTCATGCAATGTTAGGGTCCAGGTTGTTAGTGTGTCCTTGTGCCTTTCTGCCTCCCTGGCATCATGTCAAAAGTTGTATTCTTGTAAGAGTAATTGTGAGAAATGTTTGGCTAAAAGAAGGAAATGGAGCGAGGGAGACAGCTACAAACTCCTGTTGCTGCTGTGCTGCAGACATGTGTGCTCTGGTGAGTTGTAAAAAGTAAACTCTTCTAGAGGTAAAAAATCTGCATGACCCTGCCAGCTGCTCTGTGAAGTGACTGACTTCAAAACCATAGCTGGTTTTTGGCTGGCAGTCTGTCTGCTCCAGTGCAGAATTTTAGTTGCCATGCCAGAAAATGAGTTC